CCCCCCCCGTGTGTTCTCAGGTTGGTCCTCTCCCTCCACCTGGTGAAGATGTAGTCTGTTTGGTCTCCATGGAGATGTCTCCAGTCTCATTCTTTGCCCTGTTGCCATGGTCACTGTGCTTGCTGTTCTTCCTGACTGCCGCCCGCCCCCAGACGACGAGCTCTGCCCCCACACATGCAGCTTCCCCGGGGGCCAATACGACGCTACTCTACGAGAGCGGCGCTGCGACTAGCCGCAGCCTGCGTAACTGCAGTTGCTCCGCCCCCGTCACGGACTGCGACGAAGTGCTGGCGAACTCTCTATGCCGCTGCCACAGCGTGCCACGCTCCGCCCTGCCCCGCGCTGGGCTGCGGGAGGCGGGGCAGCTGGCGGTGTGGGTGAAGGAGCTCTGGGTCCTGGAGGAGCTGCTGAACGGCAGCTCGGTGGGCCACCTGCGCCTGTCGTTCTGCGGGATCAAACCTGTGGACAGCCGGTACCTGGCTCTGCGGGGTCTGCAGACCCTCGGGATCCACAGCGCCGTGCCGCAGACTCCATACCCTGACCAGGAAATGACCCTCTCCCCCCCAGCGGGGGTCACAGCGGAGCTGGACACCCTTTCCTTTGGCTCCTCCTCCTTCCTGCACATGACCTTCGTGGACGTGGCCGTGCTGAACGGGCTGTCCGCCCTGAAGGCGTACAGCGTGGCAGGACCGCCTGCCCCCACCCTCTCCCAGCACTTCCCCCTGCTGCCCGTTTCGCCGCCCCCCTCTGATGACCCGGCTGAGATGGCTGCAGACCGCCTGCAGGACCTGCTGGTGACCTTCGTGTACTGAACCTCGACACCGATGGCACTTTTTTGTGGGACGCGTTCCCTTCCTGCTGCTGCTCCTGTCCCGGAGATGTAGTGCCCTTTGATGCTCTGATCCTGTAACGAGGTTTGGGAATGTTTGCACTCTGATTGGATAAGAGGACAGCTGCCACAGAGGTTTCACACGCATGTACACACTCTGACCGTCCACTGTGGTACCGTGTAACGCACCGCAGTAGAAACTCGTAGCTTTATTAAACATCATAGGTTAGGTTTGGGCTTCATGTGAGGTTAACAGGAATTCCCACTACCAGGACCTGCTGGAGTCTCATGAGTCTAAACATCTGCAGATGCTTCACGGCTAACCTCTCAGTGTCCGTCAAGATACTCTGACCTGTCACAGATAATGAAAATTAGCCTTTTTAGCATTTTACCAACAAAACCAAACAGTAAGCTGAGCCCAGCGATGTTCTCATAACTCACTGATGTGCTGTTGGTGTTAGTGGTTCATAAAGCCTTTCACTCACAGTTTATAACGAGTGTCTCATCAGGAAACTGAAGCTGGGGGATTTTAATGGTTTGGTGTGTGAGTGGCATGTAAGTGATCTGTAAATCCTTAGTAATAGTGGGCGAGGATGGAAAAATGTGTGAAACAGCTGGAAGGGGACGAGGTGCTAACATGACTCAGGCTGCAGGCGCTGCAAGCGCTGATCTCTCCTGTCTCTGCGCTCACTTTTCTCCTCCAGTTCACATTCAATCTGTCTGCGTTTCATGAACTGAAGGTTCACGTCAGTGACCATCGACCGCGAGCCGTCTCACAGCCTTTAGACCTCGCTCAGACTTTATGGACTGCAGCGTAACTGTTACCAAAAGCTGTGGTTCATTCAGGTGCCGTACGGTGATTAAACGACTGTAATTGTGAAGTCATTACTGGGCAGACAGTCTGCAGGCTTCCTGAATCTATGAGACAAACAACACGATTGTTCCCGGAGACAGAAGAGATCCAGGCTCTGCCTCCAGCTGCCGGCTGGGTGTTAGCGCTCCGTCCTGCCCAGGTGCTCCGTCTCTTTCTCAGTTCTTAGACTTACATGGGCGACAACTTACAGCAAAAACACAAATCAGAAAAACGGCAGGGCTCCCTGCACGCTTTTACTGATGAGCCACGCCATCCTCATCATCACAGCAGGAATATCTTTACAAAATAGATTTCATAGCAGATCTCGAGTAAGGTTGGGCGATATGTAAAAATTTTCCAACCGACAATCATCAGTCCAATAATCGACGATGGGCGATATATTCACGCATGCACAGACTTTTTGATGGGCGGAGCAATGTCATCATGCAGAAGTACAAACATGGACGAACTAATAGGGCTGTCGGCATTAACGCAGTCGTCACGATTAATGCGATTAAACTTTTTTTAATGTACTCAACCCATCTGGAGCGCAGAAAGAAGGGATTTTGACTCAATCTGTGTTCCAGATGGGTTCATTGTTAATCGTGTTAGTCATGATGATGGCGCGTTAAAGCTGGCAGCACTAAAAACATATAAAGTCGCCAATTTGGGATGAAAGAGGCAAACCTAAGGACGTAACCAAAGCGGTGTACCACTTGTGCAGACACATAGTACGAGCAAAGTACTCAATAACCCTAATCTCTAGAGACTTGCAGAACCTCTCAGAGGCTCACGGCTCCAGAGTTCATACTTCAAAAGAGCCAACAATAAACCCCATACGAAACCTCTTCAGGTGCATCCTGGGCAGCAGCTCAGCACTCAGTTTTATTTGGCGAGATAATAAATCAACATTAAGACGGTCTGAGAATGAATTTCCACCACAAAGCGCTGAAGCCACTCTCAGATTCACGTCTGTACTTTAACTCCTCCAGTCTCATTCCCAGAGCATCAAATGATGAGTGCTGAGCGGTTTCAAACTCAAACCAACGTTCAGCAGCGCTGCGGATAGAGCGAGGGTGCGTTGGCTTCCTGCAGGTCTGCATTACATAACGGCCTCGTGGAAGAACATTTGTGTGCCACATGATGAAATCCTGTCGGTGCAGATTATGAAGATGAAAACAAGACGTACTGGGGCAGCTGGCCGCAGTGAACGCTGTCCAGAGCGGGACGAGCGCGTCTGCCGCTCTGTCTTTGAAACATGACTCAAACACACCGCTGTGTCGGTTTAAGGACGACGCCTCTGAATGTAAACATGTCCGACAGCAGCGGGGTCTGCTGAGGCCAGAGAGCTCGGCAGGCGCTGTGCCGCGTTTTCCCAGCTGCTCTGATTGAGAGCAGATGGCCTCATAAAACAAGTTGTTTTGAAACAGGTTAAAATGGACGCCGAACAACACGAGTGCCAGCGTTAGGATCCTCCGCCAGCAGCCAACACCGCGCACTCGCTTGGACGGCGACCATGACTTGGGCTCTGCTGAGCTGGACGAGTGGGCGGGGCTGCGCAGCTGTCGCTCAGCGGAGCGCAAACAGAATGTCTTTGTTTCACACTCGCTTTAAGGCCGAGGAGCTTACATGCTCTCACTGTCCTCCTGCTCGAGTCCTGAGAGGCTCTGTGAGACCTGCTCGCACAAACGTGTGTGTGTGTGTGTGTGTGTGTGTGTGTGTGTGTGTGTGTGTGTGTGTGTGTGTGTGTGTGTGTGTGTGTGTGTGTTAAACCCATGCAGTGAGGATTCAGAGCAGAGAGTCAGAGTTCAGGTCCACGCCCAGCACACGCTGGCCTCTATGCTTAATTACACGGCGGGACTTTGCACGCTGCTCAGCGCCAGTGCACACACATGGCCAGAGTCCAAGCTAGCACGTTCGACTTAATCAAGGCCGGGTGGAGGGATTAGCCCTTTTTCTTAAACTGGGTTTGATCTCATGCACAAACATTTGATGTGAACAGAGGGTTCAGTTTCCTGGAGTTTCTCTGTTCTGAAACAGTTCAGTTTTGGCTCTGCAGGTGTCGCTGTGCTGCAGCCACACGACAGAGACTGTCAGGCAAATCAGTGCATGTTTGCTAATGTCCTGGTAGTTCCTCACACTCTGGTGGTCAAAGACAGAACTGAAAGCTGCTCCTGAGTTAAACCATAAGCTATAAAGATACATTTATCATTTCTTATACTGTAACAGTCCATATAAACCTTTGATGGGCTGTTGCTGTTTGAAGCAGCCACTAAATGACCAAAACAAACGTTCTTCTTTATTTTCTGGCTGTTTGCAGCCCTCTAGTGGTTGTACGTGGAACTTCAGTTGAAAGTGTAGACATTTAAACCGCTAATCCTTTTCCAGAAAAACGAACGTGCAGATAAACACTGACGTTCAGGCTTGATGTAAGCGCACATTATTCATGACCTCTCCGCCTATTGGTTAGTTAAATGCCACAGCAGTGACCAATGACTCGTGGTTAGCCGCCCTGACAGCAGACTCTGATAAGCACCCAGAGTCTTGCAGGCCTTGGGATCTGGTCTCATATGAGCAGCTTTTATGACATAATTATAGATCATGTGGTGTGAAGTCAGGGAGGGGTCAGGGCTGCACGCCCCATCAGCAAACAAGCCCAGCAGCAGTGACACACGGTCCGCTTGATTTTTCTCCATGTAACATGAAAGATGCTCAGCCTGTGAGTGTCTGACTTCATCAGAGGGTCTCTGCACTTGATTTTCATGCTTACATCATTTACACTTAGCATTTATCAGACAGTCAGCGACTGCACGGAAACCTCCGATTGTTAAGGAAAAATGTGAATTCTCCACCTGGTTGCTGGAAGCGCTCACAGAGAGGTTTAGTGCTTCTCCATCCAGCTGGTGAATCCTTGTTTTTCCAGGCCGACCTGTCCGGTCTCTAGGCCTGTCCAACAGCTGACATCACCTGGTTAGTGGTGAAAACCTAAATTTAAGAAGCACTGCTCATGAGAAGAAAATGTTTAAGATCACTTTGATTTGGAGGGGGCGGGGTTTATAACTTTTGCCCCAACCTGCCACCAGAGGGCGATTGCCATGCTGTCCATCTTTATATACAGTCTGTGTTTTCAAGTTTACCCAGTCAGGAACAAGGAGAACCGCTGGGTGAGTTTGCCCTCCTCAGTGACTGTCAGGCTCCTCCTGCTCTTCCTGAGCACAAGCACTTGTAGTTATGCAACAGGCAGAAGTCTGTCTGTGAACGCCATCTGCTGTGGCAAACGCAAACAGAGCAGCTCACATTTCCAGCGTGCAGCGCTCTGACACACTGGGATTTTTCCACAGCTCTTCCCATCTGCTAAACTGGGCTGTAACACACCTCCATAATGGTTTTCAGGCAGTTCACAGAGGACTGGCACTGAAAGTCAAAGAGTCTGGAACTTTCCACCACAAAATGGGTGAAAATGAGCTCAGCGGGGTTTTTGGGTTTGACGTCACTCCCTCGTCCTGTCTCCGTTTCCTCTCCTGGTCTCTGTTCCAGCACCTTAACTCTGCATCAGGGAACGTGTTTTGCTTTCAGATGATTTGCACGCTTGTTGCAGGCTTCGTGATGACTTGTGTTTAAGGAGCAGGTTGTGTATTTGGAAACGGCTCGGCACCTTTGATTTGTATATAATTTGGAGTGAATGTCATAAACACGTCATCATGTGGAAGCTTTGTGTAGTCTGACAATAAAGTTTGAAAAAGTGTTGTGATGTTGACTTTGTTACAGCTTCATGCCTGCACTTCACACCAACAGTAATAAACAACAGTCACAGTCAGACCAACAGGCTTTGATTCTAAAAACTTTATTAAAGCGAGTCGCTGAGACATTTCCTTACAGCTCTGCAGCTTTTCAGAGTTCACAGAAATAAAAGCGTTTAAAAAAACTCCTAACTAATAAACTCCCACAGCGCCCTCCAGCGGTGGCCCCCCGAACAACAGCCTGGAAACCACCGAGTGACGTTTGGGAAGCGCAATCCGGTTGTTCTTCACTCTGACGTCACTAGCCGTGTCTGGGCCTAAACTGCAGGTCCATATATCAAACGATCACTATGGCATTACTGAGAGTTGAAAAACTGTCTAAAGTCTTTCATCTTTAATAAAATGATCAGCGTTCTGCTCTACCAGGTGTAACAATTGAGTTTAACATCCAGGCATCCATGAA